CAATTATCATTTACATTCAGAAAACTAACAAATTTATGCCTTCAGTTGTCTAAGATAATTCTTTTCATTTCTCAAAGTCACACAAACTTGACATGTCCATGTCAGATTAATGATCAGCAAATCCATACCTGCTTATTTCCCTCCAATTGACAAAGCTGTAAAACCAGGAGCTTAACTCTTTTTTACATTCCATATTTTATTTTGAGCTCCCATGGCACCACATATGTACATCTTGCTATCACTTGTCTCTTCTCTTCTAGACTCATTTCTATGTTTGATTAATGTATGTCTCTTTACTAGAGTATACTCCTAGGTGGACTTAATTTTTTGCAAATAATCATATTCTCAGAATATAGCCCAGTGGTCTGTACATAGGTGTTTAATAAACATCTGTTGAATGACTAAAACTTTAAGCTGTGAACTGATAGTTATGAAACAGAATGATACAAAAAACTAAAAATATGTATAATTCATTTTCTTTGTATCTGTGCATGTTAATCTTGTCAATGTAACTGGATTAAGAGACCCTTGAAGAGGTGATTGGATCATGGAGGAACTATACTTACCAGTAGATTAATGTACTGATGTTCATAGCTGATTTCTTTTGGGAAGTGGAGCCCAGGTGGAAATGGGTTACTGGGCCATTGAAGAGTATACCTCTCACTGGTGCTCTTTCCCTGTGTTCTACTTCCCTAGCACCAGGCACTGAACAGCTTTGCTTCACGCTTCACTCCCTTCCTCCATAATGTTCCTCTCTTGCAGCCAGCCAACCATGAACTAAACCTCTGAAACTATGAATCAAAGTAACCTATTTCCTCCCTTTAGGTGTCGAGTATTTTGTCCCCACAACAGAAAAACTGACCAATGCAATATATATATATATATATATGAATTGTTCCTCACACAGAGTTACTGCTTCCAGTTTAACATTCACTTTCAGATTGCCAAGGTTATTGTCTTCAGTTCTGGATCGGTAGTTTGGCGACATCCTTCCACAGTTAAATGAGTTTTATGAACCTTCTTAGCTGTCTGGTGCAATGATTCCTATGTCTGTCACTTCTCATTAATACACTTTGATTTCTTGGCTGAAAAATATTAAATACTTGATGCTCACAAATCAGAGTGGAGGTGGAGGTCCCTTGAATGTAAATAAAAATGACAGAATTGGAGAGTTCATCTCAGGACTCAAACTCCACTATTCATGTCTTGTTTTTGCTTACTGGTTTCAAATGTGTTTAGTAACTGAATCTCTTTCAGCAAAAATAGACCCAGTACTAAAAATACCTGTAGTACAAATTTTGTGAGGATTATATAAGGAAATGTTCTTGAACTATTTTTAAGCTTTAAAATAACACAAATGTACATAATTATTTTAATGGGACTAGGGTTGTAATAAATTCTATAATAGCAATGTGACTGTGAAGAAGGTACTTTTCAGACAATGACTTATACTTAGTAACTATGTTTTACTGTGCATTTCTAACTTATTTTTGGATTGTTTTTGAAATGGAGCGGTTGCAGCAAAGACAGCCATATTTTTAAAAGTAAAAAAGGAGGAGGAGCACTTTTTAAATCATATATTCTAGGCAGTGTGTTTGCAGTCTCTACTTCTATAGTATTTCAGCTTCTTGGGAATACCAAATTCCTACAGTGTCTCGTAACGCTCTTCTAGTAACCAGGTGGGCGGTTACTAAGTGCAGCCTGGCCTCCCGTGAGCCAGGTTCTACGTCACTGATTGGGTCACAGTGCCCCTACGTGAGTACGCAATTATGAGGTCCCCAGCTCTCTCCTCTATATAAAGCCCGGCTCTTCAGCGCAATCCAAGTTGCACCAAGAATTGAGGGACACACAGCACACTGGCCGGCACCTTCTTCACTCTGCGCAGCTAAGCTGCCCCTACTTCCTAACTACAAGCCCAAAACCTCTGTTCTAAGAAAATAGAAAAGACTGAAAAGGAACCGTGAGCATGGTTTTGTTCCCAGTGAGCGGAGCTGTGTTTGCCTTCATACTTGTTTTATGGACAGACCGATTTCAGGCAAAGGTAAGAGAGATTGGAATTACATGAAGCTAGCTGAATATGCAGATTTGAGGAGTGAGTTTGTGGGATGATGGGAAAACAGTAAAATAAAAATATGACCTTATCTTTTTCTCTTGAAAGACCTCCAGACGTTAACTACTGCACTTTCCCCTTTAAGTCCGAAGTTTCACTGAGATTTCAGAGTTGTGGTCTCTTGTAAAATAGTCCCAAGTCACTAAGTGATATGGACAGCTTCTCATCCAACTGGAGAAAAAAGTGCAGCCAAAAGTATCCACTGCCCACCACCACGTCCCATTTTAAGAATCTCTCCCTGCTCTCTCACTTCTGTTTCACCCACATTCCTGTTTGGTTCTCCTGACATCATAATAGTAAGAGCTTTCTGGATACAGTATTCACAAATATTTCAGGTCCAAATGTATTTTCCCTAGTGTTAGTTTTAGTTGCAAGTGAAATTCTTTTATATAATGGACAAAGACAGGGTCCATATGTAGAAGTACTGGACTCCTCAAGCATGTAAGCAAGGGATATGGCACTTTGGTACTACAAGGCTACTTTTCATGTGTTTTTCTGTCTTGTGTCTTGGCAGAGCATACTATTGAAACAGCATAGTTACTCATACTCTTAATCTCTAGTTCTTAGGAAAAATCAATACATTTTTGTAATCAACTTGTTATTTGGTAGTATTTGGAAATCGCTAAATGCAACAAACTACGTATGTATAATTTTCTTTACAGGAAAACATTGATGAAATCGTCAAATTTGACTGCTTTTGCTCCAGTAAGAACAACTTCTATTTGGTCACCTACTGCTCCAGAAAGAACAATTTCTCCTACTTGGTTACCTAGGAGCAGTACTGCTAGTCTTTCAGCCAACAGTCTTTCTCAGGATATCTTAAATAATTTCCCTCACTCAATACCCATACAAAAGAGAATATTGATAAGCCTGAGGATCGTAGAATACAAGCTGGTTGAATTGGAGCATTTCCTAATTATCAAGGGCTTCAATGATTCATTAGTTAAGGGGAAAACCACCAAACAAGTTGCAAGATATAATGTTGACACAGGCAATCATTAAAGGCCATTTGAATTGATTCAGTTGAATATGTGTTTATTCCTAATTATCAAGGGCTTCAATTATTCATTAGTTAAGGGAAAAGCCACTGAACAAGTTACAAGATGTCATGTTGATACAGGCAATCATGAAAGGCCATTTGAATTGATTCAGCTGAATATGTGTTTATATTGAACGAATTATTATTTAAAAGGGGAGGGGATGCCAAGTCAGATACAAAATCCAGACAGTTATCAATTTACTTATTCACATTTTATTTAAATAATCAATTACCTGTTGTTGCTAATATATATTGTACTGGGGAAGGGACAGAAATAATACATAAAAGAAAATCAGGTCAAGGGTGGTTTTTTTTGCAATAAACTACAATAAAAAAATATAATTATATAGTGATTATAATTTCATTCAAGTGAAAAACAATTTCTCTAGTGGTTTACAGTATAATACTGCAATTACCTCTAAGTCTGCATTAAAGTAAGTGGAATTTTATGGAACTCATTTGTTATGCAGAATACTGCTTCTTGCCACTGTTGAATCTATGTAACAATTATAAGAGCTATCATTGGCAGCCTACAATATGTCAACCACTACATAAATATTTGTGTTGTTCACACTTATGAAAATAGTGACACAAACCCTTAACTACTCTTTATGATCAGCTCTTGAAAAGCATTGGTTCTTCATTACATATCCCCTCTTCCAACTAGATATTCTCATTTAAAATGTACCTATCAGAGCCACCTATCCTGCACTTTTTTTATTTAATTCACACCTCAAATAGGACCAAAATATAGTGATAGAATGCATGCAATTGAAATGTAGGTTAAAATTAGAAAATATATTTCTAACCTCTAGTCGATCATCTCTTTGAAATAATATTTTATAAAATCCAGTTAACTAAGGAATAATCTCTTGAAATTAACTAACAACATTTGATCTACCCTAAAACAAAACCTTCAAATTATCAAACATGAGTTTAACTAATGCATATATACATATATCATATTTATGTACATTCATGCTTCCTTGTTTCCAAATAAATTAAACAAATGACTAAATCTTTATTCCTTTAATCTTGGATCAAGAGAAAGAGAAAAAGGAATTTAAAATATATAAGAAAAATTGCTCTTTATATTTTCACTTGCCAAGCACAAAAAGCTAGCAGTAATATACTCAGTTCTTAGATGTTTTTGAGCTACAGATCCATTTGGCATTACCATTAAACTATAGACTTTCTCCCTAAGAATGCATGTACATATACAAGCAGAAAATGTTACATATAATTTCAGTGTTTTAATTCCCGGAAGCCTAGGTTAAGAACCTTATGAATTGCTAAAATGTTCCTTATATATTTACAGAATGTTTATCATCATAGGTTGTGATGTTTGAACCAATTGTTAATGATATACAATCAAATATAAAACTATTAGTGATATATTATACTATCATTTGTGAGGAAACTAGGTCATAAGATCTTCATTTTTGACAAGTCTGGCAAATTTATTTCCTATTAGTATATAAATAAGTTATCACCCATAAGCAATAACTTATATAAGACAACATCATTTTGCTTTATCATCCACATATCATCATCATAAAGTACATGATAAAATGAAAGCCATTATCTCATTAACATTTTATTGGTATTCTGTGTGAAATTAAAACTAAAATTCTTCTTTTTCTTTTTTTTTTATTGTGGTACTGGGGATTGAACTCGGGATCTTGCGCTTGCTAGGCAGGTGCAGCGCCACTGAGCTAAATTTCCCGCTGTTAAAACTAAACTTTATAGAATATAATGAAGAACTCTTAATTTTGTGAAACACATTAGAAATTAGTTGTTTAATAGCAATCTTCAACACATAACCTAAGGAAGGAAGACAGTAAGATAAAGTAAGAAGTATTCAAAAGTTGTTTATTCCATTTTCTAGATTTACTCCCTGTTAATGGATGCTTATTTCCTTTCTTATTTCAGTCTTTATAAATAAAAAACGTAACTATTAAGTTTGTCAATAAAGAGCATAACTACTAAGTTCATATAGAAATATGAGTCATCAATACATGAAATTTTTAGACATATTTGTGTCAAAAGTATGAAACTACATCACTCACATAGACAGTCCATTTATTCCTATAAACATAACATTTCCAAGTAGCTAAGACATTGAGTTTGTAACATTTTATTTTACATGTACTGATTCATTTTCCTTCAGCTTGAGAAAGAGAAAGACTGTGTATTAAGAAAATAGAATCAAATAATATTTTTAAATTTCCATAATAAAAATGTAACTATTTTCTAAGTAATCAATTCAAATAAAAATTTCAGTGCATTAGAAGAAACATTATTGTAATATTTACAAAATGTCATTGTGAAATAGTTATACAGATAGTCTTAAACGAAATATAAGAACATTGCTAAACATTAATAGATTCACATTTTATATTACATTCCTGCTTAAGTGGGAAAAACATTTGTCACCACATTGTGAACATAGCATATGCATTTTTCTACTCAACATACAAATAAATTAAAAATTTCACTATTTAAAAAAAATCACATTATGGAACAACCATATATTTTTTAAAATGAGATTTCATTCAGGCTTTCTATTACTGCTTATAGTGGGTATTTCATGGTCAGTCTCTTTACTAGGCCCTACCATGTCTTTATATCTCTCCCCACGATGTCGTTCTAGGTACGGACCCCAGTTAGAAGCTGGTGTAATGCAGCTTACAATGCGCTGAAATGCAAAAAGAATTTTTTTTCTTAGAATAAAAGTACTACAATTTATAAACAAGCCAGTACTTACCTAGACTCTCATTTTTTTAATTAAATTATTTTATTGGTACATTGTAGGTATACAACACAATTACATTTCTCATTGGGAATTGTACCTT